TGTGTGTGTGTGTGTATGTGTATGTGTGTGGCCAGCTCAGTCCACCAGGGGGCGGGGCTGGCTGGCATGTGGTGCTGGGGGACTGAACTGTGGTCGCTTTGCTTTGCTAAGCTTGTTCTAAGTAGGTGCTTTAGACCACTGAGCCATCTCACCAGCCCCTCATTATGGGTTTTGTTTTTAATTGTTTGTTTTAGGGGCAGGATCTCACTATGTAGTTCAGGCTGGCCTTGAACCTGTGGTGATCCTCCTGTCTCAGTCTCCTGAGTGCTAGGATTACAGGTGTGAGCCCGCATTCCTGGTGAGGATATTATGTTTAATTTTTCTTATTAAATATTTCCATTTTTCTTAAAAATAGAAAAAAATGAAGTAGAAAGAAGCTGTATAGAATTATAGGGCAGATTCTGAATCTGAACAAATTTGCATTCAAAATACTGACTATTCCTTTTACAAATCCATGACCTTATGCAAGAATTTAATTTCACAGTCTTAGTTTTCTGATCTGAAACACAGAGATGATTATACTTCACCAGGTTGCTTTAAGGATGAGATAAAGTAATCTATTTGAACTGCTAAAAAGAGTGCCTGGAATATTATGTATTTAACAAATAAGAATCATTAGAAGAAGGCAAACAGAAACAATCAATATAGAAAAGTTATAAGGAGTTCGATGTTTTGCAAGTTCTAATTCTGTTTTTAGTAGCACAGGACTTTGTTTATGACCTAGAGTTAGATTCTTAAATCTTCTCTTTTAGTCTGAAGGGCAGTAAGTATGAACTTGTGACTATTCTAATAGTTTTAAACTCTAAGGTATAATTTGAATTTCTGTGGAATTCTGAAATGAATGTTGTCCTTCCTTGGTACGTGATTTCTTCAAAATTTGTTAAATTTGGTACATGATGCATTCTGACTTGAAAATTTTGTCCTAATACTTGTTTGTTTAGTACTTGACAGGCAAGCTGGAAAGTGCTGCTGTGACTCGGCTCATGACTCACTACCCCTTCTGTGCAAATTATTAGTTTTCTTTTCTTTCTTTTTTTTTGGCAGAACCGGGGATTGAACTCAGACCCTTGTGCTTGCCAGGGAAGTGCTTATTCCACTGAGCCATCTCCCCGGCCCCTATCAGTTTCATATTTGTTGTTTTCGCATTCATCATGCCACACTGAACCATTAATGATGAGTACTGAGGTACTACTATCCTGTGGCATTCTATAGCCTGCTCTTAGCTTCTCTAGTGCAAACTTCAGAGGCCTCACAGGTGTCTTCCTATATATAAATCTGATTTTGGTTACTTCCTACCTTAAAAACTCCACTGACACAAATCTCAACTTTTTTTTTCTGTTGCCACATTAAGAAATGAGAAGAAGGCTGGTGAGATGGCTCAGTGGTCTAAAGCACCTACTTAGAACAAGCTTAGCAAAGCACAGGGACCGCGGTTCAATCCCCCAGCACCACATGCCAGCCAGCCCCGCCCCCTGGTGGGCTGAGCTGGCCCCCCCACACAAATAAATAAATTAAATTAAATTAAAAAAAGAAATGAGAAGAAAGCTACTCAGAAAGCCTACCTTATAGGCATTCATAGCATTTCAAGGCACCTCTTACTTTCCCACATTCAATGCTTATTGAGGGAAAGCTATATTACAGGAATAATCTTGAACATGCTTTACTTGTTTTAACTAAATAAATGAACAAGTAAATACAACAGATACACTAAGAACCTAAAGTATTATTAGCAATGTATCACACAGCTGACCCCAACCCTGAGAACTGCTGGCCTATGGGATCTGGTAATGCCGCCACAGAGTGTGTCATAGCTATTTCTTGTCAATCAGTATTATTCTGCTTGGCCACTTGTGACAGGTGAAATGAATCAAGGGAAAGAATAAGTCCGGGTGATTATCAAGGTGTTTCCAATTCAACCAACAGAGGCATAGCATGATTTCAGTTTTCTATGAAAGGCAACAGAGGTCTTGTGCTCTGGTGAAGTCCCAGCATGACACCAGGCATCCTGATACTCACTTCATACTGACCCAGACGGAAGAGGGCTGCAGAGCGATTAGCATAGCACAGGGAAATGTCCTCAGTGTTAGGCCTTGAATGTGAAACTCCCTGCAAAACAATTAACTAGTTTATAGCTGTCAATGCCTGTACCAGAAAAACAGTGAGTCCAAATAAGTAACTTATTAGGGTTTATATCTAGATGTCCCTACAAAACCTCAGGCACTCACAGATGGGTTTGGGGAGGTGATTGGATCAAAAGGGTATGACAGTCATAAGTGGATTAGCCCACTGATGAATTTACAGCTGAATATAACACTGGGAGAGAAAGCCTGGTCAGAGAAGGCTGGTTGCTGGGGGCATGGCCTGGAAGGTCTACCTGCCACCCTCCCCCTCTCATGGTTCCTCTGCTTCCTCGTGCCACGCCATCCTGCCTGACAGCCAACTTTGGACTAAAACTTCTACAAAGTGTCAGCCAGAATAAATCTTTCATCCTTTAACTTGTGTCAGGTATTTTGTCCTAGCAACAAGTAACGAAGAGGCTAACAATGCACCTCAAGGGCCTAGAAAAAGAAGCACAACTCAAATTGAAAGCTAGTTCAAGGAAGGAAACTGTAAAGATCAGAGAAGAAAAAAAAAAAAAAGATCAGAGCAGAAATGAATGAAATTGAGACTAAAAAAACAATACTAAGAATGAATAAATCAGGGCCGGGGATATAGCTTAGTGGCACAAGGGTCTGCCTGGCAAGTGCAAGGTCCTGAGTTTGATTCCCGGTATCTCCTCCAATAAAAAAAGAATCAATACATTGAAGAGCTGGTCTTGGAAAGAATAAACAAAATAATAAACAAATCTCTAGCCAATATGGAAAAGAAAAGAAAAGACCCGGGCTGGGGAGATAGCTCAGTAGAATAAGTGCTTGCCTGGCAATCAATCCCTAGTTCTGCAAAAAAAAAAAAAAGGACCCAAATCAATTAGAAATGAAAAAGGCATAATCACTAGAATCACTATAGACTCTGCCAAAATCCAGAATATTATTAATATTATGAGACTCTGTAAAATTAATTCAGAAGAAATGAATAGATTCCTAAATATATATGAACTACCAAGACTTAACTAAGAAAACATAAAAACCTGAAACTCAGTATCAATGAGATTGATGATAATATATATATATGAAAGCCCAGGTCCTGATGGATTCACCACTGAGTTCTATGAGAACATTAAAGAAGTTTTAATATCAACACTCATCAAACTCTTTAATAATAAAATCAAAAGAGGAGTACTCCTTTCCCCCCCCCCTGTATTTTGGGGAAGAATCTACAGGGTGTTCAGGGTCTCACTACTAGATTGGACTCAGTGGTTCTCCTGTTCACAGCCTCCCAAGTGCTGGGATTACAGGTGCACAATTGCCCTCTCAGCATGCCCCGGGGGCAGGGCTGGCACAGCAGGCTGGGGGAATGAACCCCTGGCCCCTGCTCCTGCTTGCAGGTGCTCTAATCCACTGAGCTATTTGGCCAGCCCTAAAAGAGTACTCCTAAAGTCATTGATAGTAGCTAGTATTCTTGATTCCCAAACCAGAAAAGGACTCAACCAAAAAAGACAAGTACAGCTCAACCTCTTAATGAATACAGATGCAAAAATCCTTACCAAGATACTGGCAAACAGGGAAAATAAATCATAAAAAAGATCATATATCATGACCAAGTAGGCTTCATCCCAGAGACTTAGGGATGGCTGAACATACACATATCAATAAATATAATATATCATATAAACAGCAGCAAGGACAAAAGTCACTTGATCATCTCAATTGACACATAAATAGCCTTGGACAAAATCCAACACTGTTCATGATAAAAGTCCTGAAGAAAACAGATAGGGAAGGACCTTATCTCAATCGGTGCAAGGCACTTATGACAAACCAATGACCAACATCATATTAAATGGGGAGAAGCTGAAAGCTTTCCCTCTAAAACCAGAAAGAGAAATAAATGAAATAAAATAAAATCAGAAATAAGACAAGGATATTCACTATCAAGGAGGTTCACTACTATTATTCATTAGTTTTTTTTTTTAAACATTTATTTATTATTTGTGTGTGTGTGTATGTATGTGGGTGTGGCCAGCTCAGCCCACCAGGGGGCGGGGCTGGCTGGCATGTGGTGCTGGGGGATCAACCGCAGTCCCTGTGTTTTGCTAAGCTTGTTCTAAGTAGGTGCTTTAGACCACTGAGCCATCTCACCAGCCCA